ATCACTGTTTGGATTGTGAGGAGACCCTCCCGGCGCGCTCACTCACAAGCGCTCGCGGCTGGAGCGATTGGGAGCGCCCTCTGTGCCCAGCTAGCAATCCTTGGATCTTGGGTACGATTGTGAGCGCCGCCGCTCATAGTCCTACAAGATGTAGGATTGCGAGCGCTACTGCTCGCAATCGGAGGCATGTTGCTCGGATTGTGAGCAAAGCTGCTCGCAATCCTAGACTTTGTTCGGATTGCGAGCGCGCTGGTAGTAGTCGTAGGAGTCACCAGTCACCTTGGGAGCGGAGCTGCTCTTAGTCCTAGAAGATGTAGGATTGCGAGCGTGGGTGCTCACAGTCGCACAGAGATGCTCCGATTGAGAGGAGTGCTGCTCACAATCCTTCGACTTCTAGGATTGAGAGCGAGGCTACTCTCAATCCTAGCGGTCTAGAAAAGAAGGTTCACACGAACTCCCACGATTCTAAAAAGAAAACTCCACGACGCTGGCTCGAGCAAGAGCTTCGCCGGTCGGTGCTGGCTCGACCCGAAGCGCGCGAAGCGCTCGAGGATCTCCCGCCGCAGCTGATCGTGCGTCACTAGCTGATGTGCGTGCATATGGCACGGCTCGCTGGCGCTCTCATCCTCCTCTGCACTGACTGCACGGCTCTCGCATACCAGCGCCAACCACGGCTGCTGCAGCGCCAACCACGGCTTCGCCAACCGCTGCTCACCGCCACGGAGGAGCCGCTTCTCGCCTCCGCCGACACGGCCAAGCAGACCGCTCTCCCGCCGGTGCCTCCGCTGCTGAAGGGCCGGTCCAACTCGGCCGCCATCTGGCGAGTGGCCTGGCCCTCCGTCGCCATCGGGCTCCTCCGCGCGGCGCTCGGCCAGGTCGACGCGTGGTACATCGGCCGGCTCGGCAGCTCGGAGCTGCAAGCCATCAGCGCCGCCTCGTTCTTCATATGGGTGGTCTACATCGCCGGCGAGCTGTCCTCGGTCGGCGTGCACGCTCTCTCCTCCGCCGCCGAGGGCGCTGGCGATCGCGGCGAAGGAGTCG